AGTTAGGTGTTGTTTCTTTGTGTACCTGTAATTCTCATTACAATTTCTCTTAGGTTATTTGTCATGTGTATTTTAATCATAGCAGTCTTCTTCACTAGTCTTTGACCATCCTGAGAAAAGGTGTTTTTTTTTTTTTATTATTCATTCCTCCCTTCTCTGAGGTTTAGCATAGTGGTGTATGCCTAACAAATATGTTTTTTAAAACTAAACTATTGGCATTACAGAGATATTAGAGTGGGGATGTAGTTTGTGTAGATTAGAAAGGAATCTTAATATGTAATTTATGAAAATTAGCTAGTTCTTTGGAAATTATTTCAGTGCACATAAATTTAAATAATTTTTATCTTAGGATTTTCTTAAACATTAAATTTATATGTAAAATATATTGAATATTTGTATTGTCTGATGGGACCAAACTAATGAAAGTGTAAGCATTGTCATTGTTTTCATAAAGATATACTTTAAAACTACATTTTTAATATTTCGGTTTTTTTTTCTTAATGTAACAACCTCAGACCTCTTTCTATCTAAAAAGAATGTTCTCGGAGACTTTGTTAATTATGGCAGATTGAACCACATATATTTCTTTTTTTCCCCTATCTTACTAAAGTGAAAGCACAGGAAAGAAAAGCATAAGATCTGAAGGAAAGGGAAAGGAAGTAACAGTAGAAGAGAAGTTGTTCATATTTTGGAATTTTAATCACAGAAATGTGTTAACTGACAGAGTATTAGAAAAGCTGAAATCAAATGTCAGAATTTAAGGATCCATTAAGTACCCAGAAACAGTAGGCTAAAAAAAAAAAGGTGAACACCCACTTTTACAACATTTAATGAAATTTCAGAACCACAGATAATGAAGATAATAAAAGCTCTGGAGAGAAAAAAAATTAATCCTAATTAAAGGATTAGGAGTAAAAGTTATATTGACCTTACAGTATCAACAGTGGATTCTAGAAGACTGAGGCAGTGCTTTTTTGAATTCAGTGTGAACTGGTAAGGAATGACCTGTAGGAAATAAAGTTAAATGAAAAAAAAAAAATCAAGGTACACAACATTTTGTGGAACACGCTAATTTTGTGTAGGAATAAGGTGGTGGAATGTGGATAGATATATGTATATGTGTTTGTATTTTTAAAATAATACTGAATAGACAAAAAAGCTTAATAAAAATGGTTCCTAAGGGGGATAGATGACATGGGGTACAGAGAGAGGAGGCTTTTGAATATAGTGTACCTTATTATATAGTTTGACTTTGGGATACATTTATAAGTGTTTTATATAATCAACAGAATTTAATCAAAATGGAAAACCCATAAAAATTGAAGACAGAAATGAACTGACCTAATTATATCCCGTGTGGGTGATGACCATACAGAGAAAACGTATTTCAGGTGGCTTTATAGCACAGTATTTTGATTGTCCATCGTTAATGGCCAGAGCTGCAAGGAAGTTTTAAACTTTATTCAGTAATCTTAGTATTAGAAGTAATATTAATACTGTTTGAAGCTATTTTGTATACATTGTAGGATAATGCACATAAACCACCATACTTTATTTGTACAAAACCAAGATTTTTAGTGTTAGAGAAAAGGAAACAAGAATAAATCACTTTGTAGTGGCATGAATAGTGCCCTCCCCAAAGATAAGTCCATGTCCTAATTCCCAGAACATGTGAATTTATTTGAAATAAGTGTTCTTGAATATGTGATTAAGTTGAGAATCTTAGATGAAATCATTCTGGATGATCTTGGTGGGTCCTACATCCAATGACAGGTGTCCTTATAGAGGACACACAGAGAAGAGACAGAGAAGAGACGGTAATGTGAAGATGGAAGCAGAGATTGGAGTGATGCAGCCACAGCTAAGGGAAGCCAAGGAATGCTGGCAGTTGCCAGAAGCCAGAGGAGGCAAAGAGCCTTCTCCCATAGGAGGAGAGGATGTGGGCTCTGTCAGTATTTTATTTTGGACTTGTGGCCTCAGAACTGTGAAAGGATAAGTTTCTGTTGTTTAAGTTGTCAAGTTTGTGATAACTTGTAGCAGAATCAGGAAATGAATACAGACATAAAGTAAATCCCCTGGAATTAAGGAATGAATCCATGAAGGTCATGTTATCTTGTTTTTTTTTTCTTCAGAGACCATACAGTGGTCCCTCAGTGTACATGGAGGATTGGTTGCAGGATCCCCACTTACTCCAAATCCTCACGTACTCAAGTACTGTAGTCAGCCCTGCAGAACCTGCATATAGGAAAAGTCAGCCTTTGGTTGAAAAAAATTCACATATAAGTAACCCTCACAGTTCAAATTTGTGTTGTTCAAGGTTCAACTATATATCCTAGCTCTGCTGAAAAAGCTATGAAGCAGTGAAAACTGTAGCACTGAGCACACTTGATACCGAAATTGTGGTTTCTGCATGCTTCACTAAGAAGCAACAAGCAGGGTTCTTTAGAATCATAGCTATTTAGATCTGGGAGTAGGAAATATATAAGATGAACTTGTAATATTTTGGTGTACTAGAAAACAAGGAAGCTATCAGAGTACTGGCTATCAAAAGATCAAATTTAAAAGACTTCCCATTGGCCAAAGTTTTTATTATCAAAAAGGGCAGTAAAATTTTTTACTGTAATTGATTGAAAATTTTTACTACAATTGATTGAAACACATTGAATATATTAAAAACCCATTAGCTCCTAAATAACATCACCGAACTCCCTCCCCTCAGACCTTATTTAGGTATCATTGGAAGTAGGGCATCGATTTCTTATTCTGAAAATTAACAAAATGAAAGTCTTAAGCATTTAACCTGACTTTGCTTAAATGAACTGTTTTTTAGGATAGACAGCTCAAGTTGGTGAGGAAAAGTTTTATAGCAAATAAATGTAGGTGCAATAGAACTGGAAAACAACCCTAATAAAATAATAGATTCAAGCAGTGATCATTAATGGATGAAAATACAATGGAAGAAGTTTACATTGTATAAACTCATGCTATATATTATCAACTAATGAATCTTAGCTTTGCTGAAGTGGACAGTAAAACATTGTGGGCCTCCTGAATACGAACCAGATGCCATCAATTGTTGATAGTTGAAAACAAATCTAAATATGTAGAGCTAACCTCCATTTATAGGATAGAGGAAGAAGTTAATGATCCTACAAAAAACACGGTTCTAGAATGTAAGGTCATCTATAGAATGGCAGACCTTTTCTTCTGAATTGTTGTAATGAACTGCTCTAGATTAAAAAAGACTTAGGAGACATAATATCCAAATGAAATGTCAACCTTGTGTTGGATCCCTACTGAAACCAATTGTAAAATGAAATTTTTTGAATCAGACAGGTAAATATGAATATGACTGGGGTTATAGGTGATTCCAAGGTATGATAATGATTAGGAAAGAAAGTCTCTGTATTTTTAATAGGTGGATACTGAATTATATAGAGGTGAAATGGCAATATTGAGGACTTGCTCTTTTTGTTTTAAGAAAAATTATGATAGAACCACATTTTAATCATTTTATTTTATTTTATTTTTTTTTTATTTTTTTTTAATCATTTTAATAAGTGGAAGAAACAGCTGTTTGAAAAATTAACACGTGTGAAAATGATTTCCAACATAGTCTTCTGTACTAAGTCAGACTATACTATCAGTGAGATCAAGTAAAGATGACTTCAGATCTTTCTCAGGAACAACATACTTCATTGAAATAATAGATTCAGTGAACCAATCAAGGTGAAGACTAGGTATTAAGAAATAGAAGCTTCAGCTCAGAGAAAGGTGAAGGAAGTTCCCAGGACACCAGTAATGGAACAGGTCAAAAGAGTAATGTATTGTTAGTTCAGTCTGGAGTTGGAGGATAAAGGGCGTTAGAATTCAAGGGCTCCATCAATAGAAGAGAACTATTAGATTTCTGATGTTGTGTGGAAAATTTAATTGTGGGACTGGTGGGGAGGGTGGGGAAAATTTGTGGTAGGTATATAGAAAGCTAAGCAAATGAAAAAGTAAGACAGTTAACTCTGGGGAAAACAAAATGCTATGCCAAAAAAATACATAGTAGTTTACTGATCTCATCAGGTAACTATATACACAATTAATTGGGAGATTTTCACAATTGGAGGAAAAGAAGTAAGTGATGTAAGGGAACTAAATCCTCATTTTCCATAGGGAAATCAAAAGATAATACCTAAATTTGATATTTCAAAGGTTACTATTATAAGCCTGTGACTTTGGGGTATAAATACCAAAAATAAAATAAAAGTGAAAAGATTTTAAAGAATTGTACCTCGTTGTGGGAAGAGAAACTATATTGGACTTTACTCACCATGCATATTGTTACTTAGATAACAATATATGTTAAAAAAAGAGACTGAATTAAAGATCCTCTCAAGGGCAAGTGAAAGTGAACCAAACCTTTTCCCCACAGACTCTATTTATTTTATTTCTTTATTCTTGTTTACTTTATACTTAATGCATTGTCCCTTTTTATAATTTAAGATTTTGTTTTTGATACTTAGTTATGAAATTTTAAAACTTTGGAGGGCGCGTGCTTGTTAATTTTTTATGTATTAAGTCTTTTGAGAATAGATTAAAACCTAGAAAGTGAGGAAAACTTTCTTTTTGTGAAAGTATTTTAATTATTGACAATATTAAGAGTTTAAAATAGCGTAGTATTGGTAATGAAACATTCAAAGTGGTGCTAAAAATTTTACTTGCAAAATTATATTTGCCAACGAGACTGGGAGTACTTATAGTTTTATTTTTAGAAGAGTTTGTTTCTGTAATTTATAATTTCTATAATTTCTATTATAATTTCTATAATTTAAGTTAGTAACGATAACCTTTTCATGGGTGGAAAAGACTTCATGGGTGGAAAAGAAAGTCTGTTGTTGAAAGTAATACTTTGAATTTCTGTATCATTTTATAGTTTGTTTTCTATAATATGTTGAAATTATTACTTGATGTTAAAGTTGGTCTGTGCATTATCCTTTCACTGTCTTTGCTAGGTTTGGCACAGGAGGCTGTTTTCCTGGTGTGGCTTGCTGCCTTTGGTAAGAACATGTCGTCCATCTTGCCATTCACTCCACCAGTTGTGAAGAGACTGCTGGGATGGAAGAAGTCAGCAGGCGGGTCTGGAGGAGCAGGTGGAGGAGAGCAGAATGGGCAAGAAGAAAAGTGGTGTGAGAAAGCAGTGAAAAGTCTGGTGAAGAAGCTAAAGAAAACAGGACGATTAGATGAGCTTGAGAAAGCCATCACCACTCAAAACTGTAATACTAAATGTGTTACCATACCAAGGTAAGTGTCCTTAGATCCTGAGTTTGATGATCATACTTTTGGAAATTGTGTAAGGGAATCTGAAAGAAAGTTATTGAATTCGTGTTCAAGTCACCTGCAAATAGTGATGATTAAAATATGAATGTTTTTAACCTGTTGTATACATTTTGTTTTACTAGTTGACATGTTTATTTTACTCATTTTCTTGAGCAGTGAGAAGGCTTAAGCAAAATAAGATACTTAGATTTATTGCTTTATCTGCATTGCCTAAATTTGTGTTATCCTCTTTTCTGCAGTTTAATGATATTTGAATAAAGAGTTAAAGCTTTTTCTATCACTAGGATGGTAGTGACTGACAGTGTTCTCCTCCATTGGTCAAAACTTCCATCAGTGAGAAATTAAAAGAGGCTGCTAACTTTTTAATGAATTTTAGATAGTTTTTATTTGAGTTGCAGTATTACTTCTAAGAAAGAACAGTGTATGAGGCAGCTTCTTAAGTGTTGTAGGTAGTAGTCAGCACCTGCTCCAAGACCCACCTCATATTGGAACAGGACCTGTTGCTTAAGAGGTTGAAGTTTTCTGGGTATAAATTTAATCATTTATAGGTAAGTAACATTGCCAGAAGTATTGGTTTTTAATAAAGTGACAGGTGGTTTTTAAAAATGTTTTACTACTTTTTTGTGTACATTATAGGTTTTTGGGGGAGTGTCAAAAATAGAGAATTCTCTAAAATGAGTGTTTGCAAAGTCGTACGTGTGGACTGGTATATGGCATGTGAAACCATTCTACTTGTTTCCAGTGAACTTTTGAGAAATACACTCAAATAATAATAGATCCTAGTAACACCAGCCTGTCCATTTGCAAATACTAACAGTAGAATGTTTCCTGCCTTGTTTGGTAGACTGTTTTTCCTTATTTGTTTCATGTAAATCTTAAATAAGGGTTACTTTTCTTGGTGTATTCTTTTGTTTTACAGATGCTTATTGAGTGCCTGATGTATGTGAGGTACTATTTGTAGATACATGGGGGAAAATGATGAACAAAACACAAAGTTCCTGTCTTTTTAAGGGATAGATACAGTAAACAAATGAGCAAAATAATATAACTTGAGATGGTAATGAGTGCTAAGAAGACAACAAGTGCAGTGATACTGACTGAGGAATAAAAAATCTGCTTTGGCTTTGGTTGTGACACTTGAACTGAGCTCCAAGAAGCAGCAGCTAGATGAGGGGAGAGTCTTCGAGGCAAAGAAAGGAGCCAGTGTAAAGACTGAGGTGGGAAGTAGCTTCTTGCACTGGAGGATTTAAAAGGAATGCAGTGCAGATGGAGTACAAAACTTGGAATGGGTTCACTTATGTAGGGCATCGTAGGGCACTGTAAGAGTTTGGATGTTAGTCTAAGTACAAGGGGAAGCAAATAATTATTTATAAATGGATTTTTTAAGTCCATTTTTTTAAAGGATTTTTTAAAATTTACATTTTACAAAGGTCATTCTGGCTGCTGAAGACAAATAACGACGGGATAGCAGTATGTGTGCAGTAGGGTCTATGGAAGCAGGGAAATCAGGAGGCTGTCACAGGAATCTAAATTCAAGGTGACAGAGTCTTGACTGGCATGGTGGCTGTGCTAGTACACGAAGTGAATGGATTTAGCATGTGTTTTAGAAGTAGAACTGACAAAACTTGCTGGTAAATTGGCTAAGAAGTAGTCAGGCTATACTTAATTTTTTATTGTGTAATACATGGCATCTCAGTTCAGTAAACATTTATTAAATGCCCACTACATGCTTTTATGTTCTTCCTCACTGGAGTTAAAATGTAGTCTTTGTCCTTAAGGTGCTTACTTTCTAGTAAGACAGGTAAACTTAAAGAGATAATTTCATAAGGTGTGGTAGGTGAAAAAAGTATGCTCAGGGAGCTATGTACAGAGGAAAATTTCCTTCTGGAGAAATATTGATGCCTGAGTTGAGTTTGGTAGAAAAAAGGAAGAATTAGGAGAAGGTAACATCGCTGGTAACATGGGTTGTGGGGAGATAAAATAATAGTAAAACAACAGTTCAGGATATCTTACCGTCTTGCTTTAAGTCTTCTTTAATTTAAAATTAAGATGTCATTTATGCTCTGTTCTTTGCATTCTTTTTTTTTTTATCAGTTTGTATATTTTCTATTGACTTTTCAGTTTACTTTTCCTGTTTTTGTGCTGTATCCAGTCTGCTGTTAAAACCATGTAATAAGTTCTTAATTTCAAGTATTATATTTTTCAGTTTCAGTATATTCCTTTGATATTATAGATCCCAAATCTCTTGAAATAATACATTTTATCTCTTTTTCTTAATATATTTATAATAGTTACTTTAAAGTCTCTGTCGTCTCTAATATCTGGATCATCTAAAGGTCTACTTCTATTATTGTCTGTTCGTTCTTTTATCACTCACATTTTCCTGCCTTATACATGTCATGTAATTTTGATCGTATGCTGTAAATTTCTACATTACATAAAAGTCATATACAAAAGCATGCTTCAATTGATGGATTCCCCAGAACAGTATTTGACCATACCTACCTACCTACCCATGTCAGATAGATAGTGAGAGAAATTGATCACCTTAATCTATACAGGGATTGAGCTGGATTGCCATTTTAGTATGACTTAGTCTACCACTGGTTTCTACCTTTGCAGCAATCAGGGCTCTCCTGGGATTTCGATTGACATTCCCTTAAACACTGTGGGAGATTTACTTCTACTCTTTTGTAGTATGAGGTTAGCTCTTTAGCCTCAGCTTTAATATCTGATAAGCATTTGGGGGGAGGATGCTCTTGTGAGTGTCAAAAGTTCTGCTGTGCTGCTTTTCCTCAGTAACTGAGTTTCTTTTCTCAGACCATGCCTGATCCTCAGCCTACTGTACCTAGAATTTGCAAATGACCCGAGGGGAGAAAATGATGGGACAGTTGTCCTTTCACCTAGAAAGCTTCTTTCTTTTCTACGTCTTTAGTTCATCAGGATGTCATTACTTTGATAGCTGTCCATTGTCTTCAAACAGGTTGTGCCCCTCCCCCCCCCTTTTCCCTCTAGTTGTTGCAGCAGAAGTGTTCGGCTTATATCTTACCTGGAAGCAGAACTGTAGCAGAATGTTAAAATGGGAACTCTTCTGGTATTTATTCAGAGACTCCAAATCTGAGAACAATAGATTACAATTAACCTACATTCAAAATTGAGATTCTACCCCTTTCTTGGGGGATTTGCAGAAAGGATTCCCTGAGGCAAGCATAGCTACAGTTAAACCAATCACTGTCCTCTAGACTGTATAAATCTAGTAAGCTCAGGAGAAGGACCCCATAGTGAGAACTTCTTTGGAGAGAATAGTATATGATATGGCATTTCCCCTTTTAAAGTCCGATTTGAAGGACTTCACAAGAACTTCTCAGTTTGACATGTGTCTGCTGAGGTTTGAGAGATGAATAGACTGGTACCTGACTTCTATCCAAAAAAGTCTAAAAAGTGAGATATCAGCTGGAGCTGCCTCTGTGTCAGTAGAATGAAGAAAGGGCACTACGGGAATGGCCAGCACTTGCAGAGTTCTGTGGGTCAAAGATGCAAGAATTCTCCTGTGGACTGAGTAAAGTAAGATAGTTGAAGCTGTCTTGTCTTGAAAGGATCAAGAGGCCCAACTTGGTCAGAGGGTCACAGTGATTCAGGCAGACCAGCCTGAGTAGTTCCTGCGTCAGGAACTAACTGTAGGTAAGAGTCAGTATTGGGCTTCTGACTGCCACAGGGCCCTACCTCCATGTTATTGCCACATCATATTACAGTCTAGTCAGCCACATAAGCTTGTTCCTCTTCCTGCTATTCCAGAACCTGGAGAGGCCTTTAAAAAAATAGCTGCAGAGTCCTAGAGGAGGAGGAGTGAGTAAAATTAAATGAGATAATAGGGTTTTGGCTTAGATCAGGCTGAATTTTTAATTTAATACATATATCTGGAAATGACTGGAAAAGATTGAGATCTTTTTGAGATTTTGTGCAGAAAGGATGAAAGCTGTTTGAGAAAAGCTTGTTGGAAAGCAATGATATAGGATGGTGGGGGAGGACGCTCACCAAGCCCAGCTTGTTTCATGAGTTGTCTGTATCCTCCTCTTGAAAATTTAGGATTCCAAATTCAGTGGTTGCTGGGGACAGGAAGACTATATGGGGAGAATGGAGAGATGTTCCATCCATCTTCCTGGAATATGTGTTATTTTAACAAAACAAAAACATTTTTCTAAACACAAAATATTTAACCATGATACCTGTGAAATTATCTAGTGATGCTTTATTTTCAAATAAACTATTTTATTTTATAACTGTTATTACAAGAGTTTTCTTCTATTACCATCCTTATATTTTTCCTTGAAGGGATTAGGTTAGTCTTTATTCCCAAAATCCAGCTTTTAATTCTGCCTTTGGGTTATTATGTGAAGCAATGTGAAGTGGTCTTTTTGAGACTCTTACAAAACTGTGATCACTGATAATGCCTAAATTATTAACATTAGAACTGAAATAAAGAGATTGCTTCCTAACTCTTTCACCCAGCCTTTTTTCTTTTAAAATTTTGCTTGTCTTTATGGCTTTATCTTAATGTAAGAGGATATAATTTCTCTCAAGTTTGCTAGGCTAGTGGATGTTGGGGAGGTGAAGGAAGGTTAGATTTATATTGAAGATTAAGCGAAAGTCCAGAGTTAGATAGTGAACAGATATTTATAATGGAAAATGCTGTAAGTAACTTAAAATAGTTTTTCCCCCTAGTTTTTATATGATGACTTATATCATTTGAAGTAACAAGTATAAATGTCTTTTCATGTGTTTGTGGTAACCTCGCCAAGAAAGACTTTGCAGGACATGAGTCTCAAATAAATTTTAAAAGATGAAATCTACAGGGTATATTCTCTTCCACTAATAGAATAAATTAGAAACTAATACCAATAAGACATCTGTTGACAATTGGAAATTAAACAACAGAATTCTCTAACTCATGGGTTATTTAGGGG